CAGTTTGCTCATTTGTCATCCCATTAACTGGCACAGCGCAGGGCGCGTTGCTCCCCGGGAACGCCGTAGCATGAACGTGATGTATCATTGTAAGACGATCCATGAAGAAACTTGGGAATGAGGTACTAAGTGACGTCCCAGCGTCGCTCGGCTTTTGTTCGAGGGTGCACCTTTAACCCTTGCACAACCAAGTGCGACCTGCAGGGTAACAGGGTGGGATTGTTGGTAGCCGGTGATCGTTAGAACGGTTCATACACCTTTCGGATGGCTCTGTGCCAATCCAGGATACCCAACGTGTCAGTGAGGTAGCGTTCCTCAGTTTGTCCTACTCGTAAGAGTAGGCAGGTGGCAATGGCCTCATTTGGTGGCGGGCCACATTCGCACACGTCGCGATGCTGTCAGCAGACACTTATGGCATTTTAACTGGATATCGGTTGCCAGCCGAAACCCCCACCACGTCCTCCAGCATCGCCGCTGATCGTCCGCGACCGATTATTCACTGAGGCAGCCTTACCTATTCACGGTTAACCAACAAGGTGGCCGTTCTCCTATCCGCGACCTGGAGACGCGCTCGGTAGCACTCAGCTGTGCTATCCGTACGCAGTTCATTGCCTACGGGCCACCAACGGTAACGTACTGCTGTGGTCGATTTGAGTTAACGTACCTGTTGAACTGGTGCGCCACGTTGCCTTCCGTCGAGAGCTATGTCGGAAGTTGGTACTGGATAGAAACAGTTGATGGTCTGCGCAAAACTGAAGAATTTGATCGCCGTTATTTGTTTGTTGACAAGACAGAGCACAACTACCCCCTAGGGAAGCTTCTGATACGCCTAGTTTTCCAACCTACGCGTTGAAATCATCCGCAATTACAACCATTTCGGAGCTTCGACTCATCCGAATGAGATCGGTGGGTTCATCGTAAAACACGTCCTTTTGGATATCGAAATGGCAATCCGTTGGTGCATATGCCCATACGATGAACAAATATCTTTTGGTATTGCCTCTCTTCTGGACGTTGATTGAACCCTGGAGGGGCACCGCACATGAATGATTATTGACAGAGATCCAATCGATAAGAGAGGGCTCAGTCCTGGTTTGAGTAAAATACCTACCCCGCGCTGACTTACCGAGCGAGCTTCCACGTCGCCTGGTGTGCGAAGAACGTACCTCGAAGACAAATTTAGCGCGTTCAGGGGGCTTATGGTAGTAGGATCCTGGATTTCTCAGATTTAGTGATGGACGAGGTTTCAGCACCTGCAATTTATTTCGTAGTACATTTCTTACAGTGCTGTTTGAGAACGACCTTGGGCGCGCGACACCCAAGTTGTTTGAGGGACTATTACAGGTCGGAAGAAGGGGGAAATGGAGAGGATTGAGTACTGAAGACAAAGAATAAAACAAAGGTTGGGATATCTGAGCAGTAGCCCGCTTATCACTATCCATCTCGCTCGATGCAACTAGCAGCGTGGTCCTGATTATCCTGCACGACGACTGATGCAGTATGGAATTAATTTCAGTTTGTGCATACACTCTAGCTTTATGGACGGGTACTGCTGGGGTGTCCAACCACTAAGCAGAACCATTGGGATTCTCGTTCAAAGCCTTTAGTTCTGACAAGAACCCGACCACAAGGCAGCGAGTAAAGCGAAGGAGAGGTCCATTTATTTGGATCGATTGCCCCTCCACCATTTACTACCGACTGACAAGCCCNCCCCCCCCCCCCCCCAACTGAAGGATCAGGCGACTGGACTTCGTCTGACCTCTACCCATTAACCTTCTAGGCATGATACGATCTCCTGGCTTAACGAAAGCCATCCTATGTAGCTCGTTGGGTCAGCGAGTTGCACAAGCCATCACACCACGTCAATGTGCCGTCTCGTCGTGATGGGCACGTGAAATGCCTTCTATTCGTGGAATAATCGCGGATCAGTCTGCAAACGTTCGAATTAACAACACTTTTAGTAGCCAGATTGAAAAATACCGCTCGATCAAGACTGCCGAATGTGCTTTTGTAGTTTATGAACGGTATGATATCCCGTATAAGTCAATAAGTACGAAAGTAGTGAACTAAGTAATTATTCTATTTCTAGTATGTAAATGCAAACGTAGCCTATCCGTAGGCCGGTGAGCAAGCAGCGCATCAACACGTAGGCAGGCAGGCACAAAACTCGACTGCAGGCCACAACATCCCCTCTCCATTTCAGAAGAAATCCGTAACGTGCCTGGCTCAATAGAAGCTGATTCCTGATAGACGGAATCTCCCCACATGACTTGATGTCGTGACAACGCATTCGCCTTTGTGTAGTGAGTTCAGACGATGTGCGCATACCTCGGGAAGTTATTTGGTAGTCATTTGAGGAATGACGCGTTTCTGAAGCCGAATTCGTTTTTAAACAGCAGTTTGGAGATGACACTTTTCCGCTTATTGCACCGGACCAGTACAGACGTATGGAGTTGAACTGCCATGGTAAGGAAAAGTTGGGAACGACCAGATTCTCCTCTGGAAAACGGACTGCACAGAAGGTTCAAATCATGTTCTTGGGCGTGCGCTGTAGAATAATCGTCTTTTGTAAGTTTTTTGCTGAAGGGTCGCAACGTTTGGCTTGTATGGAAGAAATGGTGTTATTTTTGTCGATTTTCTCCTTTCCATCGGATCGAAGGGAAATGTCATTCCAGTAATCAGCTCGAAACATGCGTGTAGGTCCAACAGTACTTGTACTGCAGTTAGATGGCTTTAATACAGGCCGAATAGTACAAACAGAATGCAAGCAACACACGAGCAAAGTGGCTCAATTTGTTGCAGAAGAAACACATTGATGGTAATGCTGGACAGTTTGCATAATCCGCCTTGTGCTTTATACTTCCACACCGGAAACACGTATGATTGTTAGTAGTATTTCTGTCAAGGTGGCACACGTTTATCTGGGATACAGTAGTCTGAGAGTCAGAACGGAAAATTTCCAGTTGCCGTTTTAAATCCCATTTAGCTCTTGCAGTGTCATATACATGATCCCAAGTCATTTGGGCGATGTCTATTGATATCAATTCCTCACGTATGTCATGATTGTTCGTTTCAGAAATTCAATGTTGTATTAGTAATGTTTCTAAGAATTTGTCCACTGCCAAGAAACCGTAAGCACATTAACGCGATGCGCACAATAAGTT